TCTCTGTCGTTTCTCGCAGCTGCTGTCTCGCCCATGGAGTCGCTGGCCAGGTAACAATGACCCAGCGCAATTAATGAGGGCGCAGTTCATCAGGCTCTGCAGTAAATTAACCTGCTACCACTGTGTAATCTCAGTTCGTCAGGACGGGCAAATCAGATCGTCAGCAGCGGCTTGGCGTGGCCCTGGCGCCCTAAGTTGGCGTGTGATTACTAGGTTTCCTCCGCAATGTAACGGTGGCACGAGGAGCGCCAGCCCGTAGCGCCTCCTGAGGACAGCACAGTGGCACGAACCCCCCAAGAATAATCAAGATTATTGATAATTGTTGTATGCAATTCTTCAGGGCGACCATCGTCTTCCCCAGACGCCTCCAACACCCCCAGAATATCCCGCATCTCCAGACGCTTGCCTATCTGGGCGTCCGGTCAGCAAGAGCACGCAGAGCGCCGAGCCAGAACACGGACGAAAGGGCCCTGACTGCCAATAGAGGCAGGAGCCAACCACCGGGCGAGCTAGCTGATGCCCACCCACGGCACCGGGCACGGGACTGCGACTGGCAGCAGTTCTGTACGGAGGACACACCAGTCAGACGGCAGCACACGCGCGTCTCTGGCTGATGGCCACTGTCAGGCGACCTCTCTCCAATTGCATTGTCTGTTGGGGCGCGTTCGGCCGGGCTTCATTCCCGATCGGGCCTTGTGCCGCTAGTCGAGGCCTGAGCAGCCGACCATGGCTCGGCCGACCAACCCAGAGTCCGGGATAATTGTCTGGCCTCAACCGATTTCACCGTTTCTCCGGTCGGGTCGGCGGTTGGTGAGGTTTGGCATCAGCCCCGCGGGGCAGCTGACTCCCTGTCGGCCATGAAAATTCTCTCCAGAGTAATCTCCAGTTTCCAGCCTCCATGTTCAGTCTTGTCCCCGCTTTTCGTTGGAATCGGCCTGGACGCACTGTCAGTAAGACACTCGGCCGGCCAGCGACTCAGCAGTCATCGAGTCAGCCACTTACCCACGCTAATCCCGATCCCGACGCGCTGACGAACACAATTTTCCCTGCACGGGACGTTACGGGAAAGACTCGGGAAAGATTCGTACTCGACCGGTTGCGCCTGTGCGCTGCCAAGTCGGCATCCTGTCGTCGACTCGTCGGCGATGGCCACTGCACGTCAGAATCTTCGAGTGTGTCTCAGACAGGGTTGAGCTGGAGAACTCCGCACGTCGACTCTGTACTCCACACTTGACAGCAGTCTGTGGGAATGAGCGCGGGGTCAATGCGAGAGAAAGTAGAATCGAAGAGCACAGAAGGGCAGTTGCCAGTGTAGAAAAAATGACGCATGTCTGAGCGGCAGCGGAGGAAGGCACGACAGAGAGAGAACGGGGAAGGAGCTTCCCGGTCAGCTGACCGAGCCTAACCATCGACAACGACAATCCAGAGAATACAGAGCAAGCACTGGATCCAGCATCTCCAAATGTACGATTGCCAGACCTGCTTGCTGGACGACTGTCAGTGTAGATATATATATATCCATACCTGGATGAACACTGGTAGGTAGGTTATCTAGATATATATCCAGCGCAGGAATTCGCTTGATATCTGTCTTTATTTTTATCCCCATCCCCATGCTGATAAATCCAATGAATGGCCTGGATAAAATGGTCAGAGGAGGAGAAACTATTTAACCGGAGAAAACGCAGCCAGTCCGGAATAATTTGATCTCATTTTCCCGACAATAGGAAAATATCTGAACTGATAGAGGGAGTGATACGGTACGAAGTCTATGTAGCTATTGCTGCAGTCAGTGTAGGATCATCTCTGACTTGGAAAAATCTATCTTTTCTAAACGCAAAGAGGACGAGATGCTGTCCACTATCGATAAGATAAAGAAAGACAGCAGCGCAAATAAGGAAGATTTCGCCAGAAAATAGCAACAACTACTCTCCTTGAATGGACATTCCTCGCATCGCAGTATACTACAGTACCTATGTACGTAGTTAGGTAGCAGTTATATAAGTAGGAGGTTACTCCATCTCTTCCAGAACATAGCAAGATAGCTAGCATCCGTCCGGGCTGCTGCTTCATCAGCTGGAGTCTGGACATTATTATTCACTTCTTTGACAATTTGAATGCTAGTATATAACTTGAAAGCGTATTTGTCTGCTTATATATATTTCAACTTTTCGTCCTCTCTCATTCATTCTTTCTTTCTCTTTCTCTTTCTCCTTCTCCTTTTCATTTCTTTTCTTTCTTTCTTTCTCTTTTTTTTTTAAAAAAAAAGGCGATTGATCAGCAATGAATTACCTAGCTATGAAACTGTATCTGACCGTCTGAAACTACAGTATAAACATTTGTATATCGTTAAGGTTAAAATATATTATCGACCTTATTGACTACACCAATAATCCTGCAGATGCTTGTTTCTTGATATATTGCAGACCGTCCGTCAACCTTTGACGACAGCAGATTTTTTTTTTAAAAAAAGAAGATTTGAAAGAATAATCGTCGAGTTTATTTCTAATCAAGGTTAATTGGATCTTCCCAGTCATGTTGTTATGCAGTGGTTACATCATAAAACTCTATTATCTAAGATCAGCAATTGAATATCGGTTTCTGTGTAGAGGAGATAGCTGCACTACATACGTCTTTATCTTTAGCTTAATTATTTCGATCAGGATGGAGTAATATTATCACCTTTTTAGTTTACCTGTATAAACTACTACCATGACCTCCAATACAGCCGCCTGGCAAACCACCGCCAAAACCAAACGCTTCCACCTCAAACCCGCCCCCTACACCCATCCCGGCCCCAACGAGCTTGTCGTCCGCTCCGCCGCCTGGGCCATCAACCCCGTCGACTGGCTGCAGCAGGACTTTGGCTACTTCCCCCTCGACTACCCCACCATCCTGGGCGAGGATGTCGCCGGCGAGGTCGTCGACGTGAACGCCGCGCCCGCCCACTCGTTCCGCCCCGGCCAGCGCGTGCTCGGGTACGCGCTCTCCCTGGCCACGGGGAGACCGGCCGATGGCGCGTTCCAGGAGTATGTCGTCCTGCAGGCCAACATGGCGGCGCGCATCCCGGACTCGTTGTCCTTTGACCGCGCGGTCGTGCTGCCGCTGGGTCTGGCTACCGCCGCCGCGGGCCTCTTCCAGAAGGGCTTCCTCGAGTTGCAGTACCCCGCGCTGGACCTCGACCCGAAACCGACAGGCCAGACGCTGCTCGTCTGGGGCGGAGCGTCCAGCGTTGGCAGCAACGCCATCCAACTCGCCGTCGCGGCGGGCTACGAGGTGATCACGACGGCGTCGCCCAGGAACTTCGCCTACGTGAAGAACCTCGGCGCCAGCCAGGCGTTCGACTACAGCAGTGCCAGCGTGGCGGACGAGCTGGTCCAGGCGCTAGAGGGCAAGACGCTAGCCGGGGTACTCGACACGGTCAACCGCAACGGCGCGATCCAGCACTGTCTCGACGTCGCGAGCAGATCGCACGGCAAGAAGGCCGTCGCGTCCGTTCTCCAGCCGCCCGCGAAGCTGCCCCAGGGGGTGACGGCAAAGTACATCCTGGCGTACACCATCAAGGACAACGAGACAAGCAGGGTGATCTTTAACGAGTTCCTGCCAAAAGCCTTGGCGGAGGGCAAGTATCAGGCCGCGCCGGAGCCGTATGTCGTTGGGAAGGGGTTGGAAGCGCTGCAGGCGGGGCTGGAGGCGCGGAAAAAGGGCGTTTCGGCGCAGAAGATCGTCGTGACGGCGTAGGAATAGAATACTCTTGACGATATGATCCTTGATCTGTCGAGTCAAATTGGGAGCCTTCTGGGTCAGCACTCACCAGGGCTAGGGCTAGGGCTCGCTGACTCAGCTTCTGATCACGCCTTGATCCTGAGAGAAACAGAAGAGAAAATAAGACGCTGCTTTCGAGTTTGTATCTGGTAGATGGAGTGATATGGTTTTTTTTTAAAAAAAAGGAGAAAAAAGATGATTGCAATGTACTGTATATAGGTACTAGAGTTTGAATAAGTAACAGTATAGACAGGAAATGAACCAGACAAAGCTTAAACCTGTCAACCAGAAAATATCCATCAGCCGACGACATGCATGGCAAGCATTCCGACGAAGGTGAAGGAATTGAACAAAGGCGACGATACAAGACTTGTTTCTCGACGATGGGATGCTGGTCGTATGTACAGTACAGCACAGTACAAGGAATTGATCTCCGTAATCATGCTGATCAGTGCGTTCAAGCCTGAAGAGATTATTCATACCTCAGCGATGTTGGTAGAGCATGAGGTTCTATAAGGAGTCAGGGTCGCCGGGATCTTACTTACGGAACTGCAAATAAAAGAATGGCCCTCTTATTTACTTTGAAAACAAGCTGTCGCATTGCGGGTTCTAGGGTTGTCAGTTTTTGAATAATCTCCAGAAATTACGTATCCTATCAGGCTTACCTATAGTAAATCGAACCAATGATAACAGCCATGACAGTTTGACCGATGAGCGTCATCAAGGTCGCCGCATTCGTTCCAGAGCCTGGTACACAGAAACATAAGCATCTATACAAGTTACTTCCAAAGCTGGAATTGTAGAGTTTACCTCTGATACACTCGCTTCGCGCAAAGCCAGGTCTGCATCGGCACAGAAATAATATATAGATAGACTCTTGGGTCAGACGTGTTTGGCCTGTGAGAGCTGCTTCTTTTCCTCTAGATAGATTGGAATTCTTGCCCTATTCAGCAAAAGAAACTTTTATGCTTATGACAGCTGCTCAACTCAAGCGCCAAGTCGATCTGCTGGCTAGTTGTTACTTCAGGAAGAAAGATTCCATGTAGTGATTGCCAATGGCCTTGATAATTATTCTGCGAGGACGAGGTTGTTAGGTCACATAACAGACACAGGACTGGAGAATATCTGGTCGAAAGCAGAGAAAGAAGGACAATTTGGCAGAAATTTACTCTGCAAGTGTAATTAGATACTCTATGCTGTAATGCAGTCTGCTTGTCTGTCAGAATTCCCAGTTCCTTTCAACAAACACTAGCTGAGCAGGAGACTGATCCATGACTGATGGCGTGAAAGACTAACACTAATAATCCTGTCTACGTCTTAGAGGAGAAACCAGTACTTGACTATGTGTTTACCACAGCTGATAGTCTACAGGATCTCCCGCTTCTGTCGTGTTCATGAATCATGCACTCTTTCTCCAGGTTTGAAAATCTATTGACTGACAACGTGTGCATGAGAACAATAAGATGCAGAAACCAAAGGAAGCCTTTGTACAATACAATCTGACTCATTCCATACATTTGCGTCGCCTTCATTGTTTCACGGACGGCTTCACATCCAGAAGAACCCCTGTAATCGCCGATATTCTCCTTCATTCTTGCAGCTGTCTCTTATTGATATGGTCATTTCCCCATGAATGGATGGATTTTCCCTCAACTCTTGACCAGATGCTACGACAGCATCGGAAGAAGCCTGCTGACAGATCCATTATTCGGCATTATAGACGTCCAAATAAGAAAAGCAGTCTGCTTAAGCCGTCAATTGTCTATCCACACGTCTATAAGAAGCTGCTGTTCTTGGCTGAGGTCCTCAACTCTTCTACTAGCAGCTCATCAACTCTAGCAGTGTTAGACATTCAATCTGCTACGTCTTCCTCTGCTACGTCTTATCGACTTCCGATCATCACCATGGCTCAGGCCGCTCAGCGACCTTCTGCGCTTACGTTTCCTGCTCTCCCCCCAGCGCCACCCGCATACACCCTCGACTATCATGTTTACGGGCACAACATCTTCGTCCTGGCAACGATGTGCTACGGGAAACGGTTCATCCTGTACGTGGCAGGGGTCGACTTGCGAGAACTCTCCGACATCTGGCTCAACTTTATGAAGAACTTGATGAACACTCGCGCTGCAGTGGAAGAGGGTCGAAACATGTCTCACGCGACACTCCTGGACATGTGGCTGCTTTCCAACGCCAAGGCTACGATGCAGGGCATGGCGTCCACAGCGCCGTGGTCGCGCATCCTGACCATGGAGGACTGGCTCAACGTCGACACGGTCCTGCTCCAGATGAGGATCTCTCGGGGCGAAATGTCGCTCGTCCCTTCGACCCCCAGCGCTGGGTTTTTCCGCGCGCGCATGCCCCGGCTCGTCCTCCCCTTCTCGGACTTCCTCGCCCGATCCGGAGTCATGCTTGTGCATCCGTCGCTGATCTTCCTCCCGCCGCACGACCTCAGTGACCGGCCTCCCAGGTTGACCAAGGTCTTTGTCTGCGGCCTGCCGCGCTATTTCAAGCCCGTCCCGGCCAAGCACGGTAGCGAGGGCATGATGCGCGAGCTCGAGATCCTCCTTCACATCCAGCGGGCGTCAGCGTCGAACATGTTCCGCGTGCCGATTGTCCACGAGGCGGTGCGCGCGGGCGAAGACGATGGCCAGATCTACGGGTTGTTGCTGACCTACTTCCCGCGCAGTCGCACGCTGGCCCGTGTGCGTCTCCAGGAGCGGCCCATGGCTCTCCGCCTGCATTGGGCGACCCAGCTTCGCGAGATGGTCCTCAAGCTGCACACGGCGGGGATCATCTGGGGGAGCCCCCAGCCGGAGAGCGTCCTGGTCGACGAGACCAACAATCTGTGGATCATCGAATTTGGCCGCACCCATGCGCCGCGCTGGGTTGATCGCAGCAAGGAGGGCACTTACGAGGGGGATCTCCAGGGCGTCGCTCAGATGTGCAACTGGCTTTCGGGTGTCTTAAACGACAACACTCCGCATACTGATGCTGCTGATGCGGGAGCGCAGATCCTGGCGACTGACTATGAGATCATGACTTGGAAGAACCAGCTAGCAGCGAGTGGTCATTGATCGTTGGTTGATACTTGGATACTGAAGGCGGCGGATTGGGAGATTGAATGAATGAAGGAACTTTCAGGGAAATCATGTATCTATTTTTTTAAGAGATTTTTTTTAGAGAAAGACAGATAGAATGGAAGATAATCTTTATGCAACAGTAGCTGTTTTCCTTCCGTATCATCAGAGAATAACTTGAGAGTGCTCTATTACCAGTGTTCCTGTCAGGGCCGTCAAACGCAAGATACGACTCCAATTACCTTGGCGAAGAATATTAAAGATCTATCGCAGACGTAAAGCAATTGAGTATGATTGAGTACGACGATTGTTTATTCGACAAGAATCCTGCAGGGAGCGAAGTTATAAAAATATATTATTGGGTATTTTTGCTCTCCAAGTTGATTCTGGAGTAATAACTTCGCACCACTACACCAGCCAGGGTGCTGTCTGAATAATTATAAATTGTCCTCCACAATCTATCACTATTACATCGATCTTTGCAGTATGTCGAGACATGCATCGTCATCGTCGCAAAAATAGCAACGCGATAAGATAACAATCACGTGCCGTCGATCAGGGGAAAACTCCGAAAGTTCACCACTTCACGTCGACGACTTCAATTCGAGCACTCGGGCCAGCACAGCCGCGTGAGCGATGAAAAGTTCTTTCCTGACGCATATCAGCCCCCCTGATGCATAGAGGTGTCGCCTCTGCGTCTTCCCTCCGCGGGTTCGCAATCGACTATGACAATCTCGACGATGTCGACTCCGACGACGACTCGCCGCCGCTCCGGCCGGCAGACTGGAAGCCCCGGGCGTCGTTCACGCGATATCCACCGCGCCGGCTGCGCACATACGCCATTGTGACCGTCCTCGTCCTCGTCCTCCTCTATCTCACGTTCCGCAGAGGCCACTCGCACCCTGCTCCCGGGCCGCACCCTTACCTGCGCTACGAGGCCGTCGATTGGTCGCGTTTCGCCTACAGCCAGTATGTGACCACGAGCGCCTATCTCTGCAATGCGGTGATGGTCTTCGAGGCCCTGCATCGGCTGGGCAGTCGCGCGGAGCGCATCCTCTTCTATCCCGAGGACTGGGATACCTGGATTGAGAACGGCAATGATCGCGATAGCCAGTTGCTGGTCATGGCGCGCGACCAGTACAATGTCCAGCTCATCCCGATCAAGCCGGAGTCCATCAGGAGCATCTCTGACGCAAGTAAGCTCCCACCATACCTACTAGATTACAGACCATAACGAGGGAAACTAACGACTCCAACAGGGGACCCAACCTCATGGGACTGGAGTATTACGAAATTGTATGCCTTCAGTCAGACGCAGTACGATCGAGTGCTCCATATCGACTCGGACGTGACGATCCTGCAGAACATGGATGAGCTCTTCTTCCTCCCCCCTGCCCGAGTGGCCATGCCGCGCGCATACTGGGACAATCCGCGCAGCGGGAAGCTCACGTCGCTGCTGGTCTTGATCGAGCCCTCGTATGCGGAATACCAGGCCTTGATGGAGGCCTCCCGACCCGTTGTCCACGGCCAGATCGTGACCAATTCCACCCCGGGCCACGAGATGTACGACATGGAGCTGCTGAACGAGCGCTACGGCGGGTCGGCGCTGGTCCTGCCGCACAGACAGTACGGCCTTCTGACGGGGGAATTCCGCACCAAGGACCACCGCAACTTCCTGGGCAACGACTACGAGAAGTGGGATCCCGATCGCGTCCTGAGCGAGGCGAAACTCGTCCACTTCTCCGACTGGCCGCTGCCCAAGCCATGGGTCATGTGGCCGCAGGCGCTCCTGGCGGAGATGCTGCCCAAGTGCGACGTGAAGCCCGGGACCGACGAGGAGAGCGGCTGCCGGGACCGCGAGGTGTGGCGGGAACTGTACGAAGACTTTCGTCGAAGACGGAAGGTGAGTACCTAGTCGCGATCGAAACGACGCAAAATTCAAATTGGTAATACGATGATTGACTAACGACTGCCTAGGAAATATGCAAGTTACTGAGCTACCCGGCCCCGGACTGGCCGCCGAGGCAATCTTCATAATTCACCCAGCTAGATGTGTGTATTATTCGACTGATATTTAGATATATATGCGGTATCAATATGTTCTGTATGTATATAGAGAGGGAGACAGCATGCAATATATACCTTTGATTCTCGAACTTGAAGATTAGGCAGTTGAGACAGTCTTGACAGTATTGCAGGGAGGCAAAGTCATGGCCTTGACAAACAACATTTGTGTCATAAAAAAAGGCAGAAATCATCAACAAACTGGATAAGGAAGGGCAAGAAAAAGAGATCGGGAGAGAGGGGAGACAGAATAAAGTGAGTCGAGCCTCGACACTTACTTTCGTAGCAAAGAGCACGAGCAGAATGCTTGCTGATCACGACTCAATCTCAGATTAGCTCTGATCGATATGCATGTGTATATGTCGTAAGCCAGTCGAGCATCATTCCACAGATCGATACCAATTTCTAACTCGCTGAGCTAGTCAATCGCCCATGCCAGCAGATGCAATGTCCAATCGAGTGATGATTTCTGCAGGGCAGTTGAGATATCCCTTGCATAACCCACATGTCTGCCGGACTAACCCAGCAACGGCAATCGTCGAGCTGGATTTAGTAATTTGTTTTATCGCTTATTCTTTTGTTCTATGCAATAAATCTCCGAACGGCAGAGTCGTCCATCATCAACATCGACTTTGTCTGCTTTCGTTTCTGCCGACATGGCGTCTGTCGAACAGCCCTCCGACAAGCCCATCAAGCCGGAAGTCTCTGTGAGTGAGGTCATCGAAGTCGAGAAAGATGTCGAGTACCCCAGTGTCACAAAACTTACCCTCACTACTATTGCTGTGAGTCTGGCGGTTTTCTGCATGTCGTTGGTGTGTTCGATTTGCAAAGACCTGATCTGTACATGCATGCACTGTACAGTACTTACTCACCTCCGCAGGACAACACCATCATTGCCACGGCCATTCCCACCATCACCGACCAGTTCAAGTCTCTCGGAGACGTCGGATGGTACGGGTCTGCGTACCTGCTCACCATCTGCTGCTTCCAGCTGATCTTTGGCAAACTCTACTCCTTCCTCTCCGTCAAATGGGTGTTTCTCACCGCGCTCTTCCTCTTCGAGCTGGGCTCGCTCGTCTGCGGCATTGCGCCGACTTCAAAGGCCTTGATCATAGGCAGGGCCATAGCCGGTCTCGGCGGTGCGGGCGTCTTTTCTGGTGCCGTCCTCATCGTCAGCAAAACGGTTCCCCTGCACCAACGTCCGACATATAATGGTCTCCTGGGCGCTATGTACGGGATTTCCAGCGTTGCGGGTCCTCTGTATGTTGACTGTCTGTTCGATCTCTATTAGACACTGCTGATAATCAGCTTTCTTACAGACTCGGTGGTGCTTTCACAGAAAAGCTGACATGGCGTTGGTGGTGAGTGCTAAATAAATCCATCCACCTCTTCTCTCGTCAGCTTGTGAGTCCAAGTCCTGTTGACGGCAGGGGCGGCACCAGTTTCTATATCAATCTCCCCTTTGGGCTTGTCGCCGCCGTCTTTATCTCCTTCTTCTTCACCAACCCGGGCCAGTACACCCCGGGCAAGGCTGTGGAGTGGAAAAACCGGCTAAGAGAGTTTGACGTCCTCGGGACAGCCTTGCTTCTGCCGGCCGTCATCTGCGTCCTTCTCGCGCTGCAATGGGGCGGGTCCCAGTATCCGTGGAAGGACGGCCGGATCATCGCGTTTTTTGTCCTGTTTGGTGTGCTTATCATCGCCTTTGCTGGCGTGCAGATCTGGAAGCAGGACAAGGCCACCGTGCCACCGCACGTCCTCAAGCAGAGAACCGTCTGGGCGGCTGCCTTGTACGCGACCAGCATGTCAGCGTTTATGTTCATCTTGATCTACTACGTAGGTGTCTCGTATTTCTTCTGTAGTATACTTACTGACGTCAACAGCTACCAATCTGGTTTCAAGCAATCAAAGGCGCCTCCGCCGTGAAATCCGGCATCATGAACCTGCCACTGATCCTGGCCATGGTGGTGCTGAACAGCATTTCCGGCATCCTTGTCAGCGCCGTGGGCTACTACACGCCCTTCATGATCGCGTCGTCGATCATCTCCGCCGTCGGGATCGGCCTGATGACCATGCTCACGCCTACCACGCCCCTCGCGCGATGGATCGGCTACCAGGTCCTCGTCGGCGCGGGCATGGGCATGGGCACGCAGCAGCCCATCACAGCCGTGCAGGCCGCGCTGCCAGCAGCCGACATCCCCATCGGCACAGCCATCATGATGTTCGCCCAGACGATGGGCGGCTCCATTTTTGTCTCTGTCGGACAGACCGTATTCCAGAACCAGCTGCGCAGGAACATTCTGCGGGCGATACCGGACGAGGGCAGGCAGATTGCGCCGCTCGTGTCCGGACTCGGCGCCACGGAGATCCAGGACGTCGTCTCCAGAAAGTTTCCCAAGGATCTGGCTAAGACGTTGAGTGCGTACAACGACTCGCTGACGGAAACGTGGTATGTTAGTGTGGTCATGGCGGGGTTGAGTCTGGTTGGCGCTGTTTTTGTGGAGTGGATTAGTGTGAAGAGGAATAAGCGATAGCTGGGAACTTACAACATGCTTATCTCATTCGTATACCGAGCTGTATTAGGGGTGGTGGTTTGCGTCTGTTTCGGGAAGATCATCTCTCCATCTTGGTCCCTTTTCTTTTAGTCGAGACCATCAACGCAGGAGATACGCGGACTGATATACGATTTCTTTTCTTTTCTTTTTGTTTCTTTTTTTTCTCACCACAATTCCAAGTCTATGGAGTAGGGAGTTTGCAATCTCAGGCGAAGGCTACTAATTAGTTAATAGTATCTTTTTCGAACGAAGTTCAGTGAATGGCGGTCTGCACGCTTAACTAATCACATCAACAGTCTGTTTTTTTCTAGCCTAGCTGCATACCATGCTTGAATAAAAGAAATTATCGAAAGGCTGATCACATTCCACGAAGCCTTGCAGAGTGCGGCTGAAAGCTGGTCTGGGGAAGAATTCGTATAATGCGTTGCTAATTAACACAATCTGATCCCGATTTCCAATTGGATGAGGGCAAAGCCGATTATACTGTGTACTGTATAGAACAGCTAATTGAGCCTCCTTACCTATGCTATACCTTAAGCTTGAGCATACGTAGAGTAATCCAAAAAAAAGTAAAAAATAAAAAGCAAAAAAATAAAAAATAAAAAAATAAAAAATAAAAAAAGGCTTTTCACTTCCTTTCCTTTTATTTCACTCAAGGAGGAAGGGACTGGATTTAAGAAATGCACGGCTAAGAGATAGGAAGCTACTGAATAGGGCGATTTGACTTTTTTTTTTAGTAAAAGAAATTATTTTTTTTAAAAAAATTAAGAGAGAGAGAGCAAAGAAAACAATTATCTTTCAGTACTTCTTCTGTCTTTTTCAATTGATTTTTTTATTCTTCCAATTCTTCGAATTGCATACTATATAGGTTTTTCCAGTATGCGATTACTTTTCTTTCTTTCTTTCTTTCTTCCTTTGTTTTTTTAAAGAAAACTACTGTACCGTACAATCATATCTCACGTACTGTGCAGGACCTATATACCATGATTTATAGCTGCTGTCGTTGTTGCCCTGCAATTGCAAACCTCTACAGAGTATCTACTGCTAGTCTCACAGAAACTAGCTTCATTGCCTTCTGCATATATATCTCTTCTCCTTACCTGCGTAGGTACATTACCTGTACTCCGTACTCTGTATGGAGTAACAAGGCAACGTTTAAGCCACTTGGCGGAGACACGATACGATGTATCTTATCCAAAAACGGAAATCTATTGCCGATCTACTCTGGCGCTGCGGGGAGCCAATCGCATTGCAGCCTTTCTTATCAGACCGGTACGGGCCGGCGGGGGTGGGGTAAGGTTACCTGCAACCTGCCTTTTCTGGTATAGGGCATCGTATTGTTAAGGTTATGCTTGCTTGGAGTGGAGGACAGGTATCAATTACTGCGTCTATGTACGGAGTACTCCGTATGTACTCTATGTATGTACATACAGTGTTTACAGATCGGTCTTCTCCTTTTTGCACTGATGGCAAAAGACAAGCTGTAAGTCATACATTCAATATGCTGCGCATTGGCAAGATCAACAGAAGATAGGACCAGACATTCTTGCATATACCTCTGCTCACTACCTTGAACAGGTTGTACAGGTCTACATATTCTGAATGCAGCTGATATTGAATATCCTCTTTCAGTCACCATCTTGTTGAGGATATCAAGAATACCTTTTACATATTCTGTCTTCAACAAACAGCTACATATACATTCCTCTGGTGCAAATATCTAGCCTAGGAGAAGTGTCGACAACCTCAGTCTTCCTTTAAATATTCCACCTTCCCTGGCAATTGTCCAGGTGAACCTTTATTCATCATGTCTTCCATCGCAGTCATCACCGGCGGAGCAGGCGGCATCGGGCGCGCCATCGCCGCCAAACTCGCCGAATCACACTCGCACGTCGTGCTGGTAGACATCGACGAGGTTCGCACCAAGACCGCAGTCGACGAGCTCAATCGCGACCGAGGCAGCGACAATAACAAGTTCAGCATGGCCATCTGCGACGTGACGAATCCCGACAGCGTCGCCGCCATGGCGCAACAGGTCCTCTCGCTGGGCGCCGTGCGCACGCTGGTCAACAACGCCGGAGCCACGCGCGTCGACTCGCTGCACGACATGACGCCCGAGGCGTGGCGGCGCGAAACGGCGCTGAATCTCGATGCGGCGTTCCTGTGTTTCCATGCGTTCGAGGACGCGCTGAAGGAAAGCAAGGGGTGCGTCGTCAACATCGCCTCCGTGAACGGTCTGTCCGTGTTCGGGAACCCGGCCTACAGCGCTGCGAAAGCAGGCCTCATCCACCTCACGCACTTGATCGCCGTTGAATATGGCCAGTACGGCATCCGCGCGAATGCTGTCGCCCCCGGCACGGTTCGCACACCGGTGTGGGAGCGCCGCGTGCGCGAAAACCCGCGCATCTTCGAGAACACAATGGAGTGGTATCCGCTGAAACGCGCCATCGAGCCCGAGGATGTGGCCAACGCGGTGGCTTTCCTGGCCAGTCCGCAGGCGGCGGCCATAACAGGCGTGTGTCTGCCAGTCGATTGCGGGCTTATGGCGGGCCAGGCGCCGATTGCGCGGACTTTTTCGCTGTCAAGTCACTATCAATAGAGTGCGGTGCTCTGGATAGAAAATGCATTCCAATCTTATAGATGGATAGATTGTGCTGAAAGTGTTGTAGATAAGACTGAATGAGTATAAGTTTGTAAATCTCACTCTAACTGATATCAAGTTCATTGATGAGGATGGGCGTCAAGTGGTTACAGTTATGTATCAATTTGCCCAGTTCGATATTCTTAAACTAAAAGCAGAAAGGTTCACGAGAAAGTACTAATGGCATACGAGAGTATCCTGACATTGTTTGTATGTCTTAATACAATGAATCATACACGGTCGTATCAAAAGCATGACACTACTATTCTATCTGAATCCCATGGCCTGCGATGGATTCGTGTTTCTACTGCAAATCAAGTTAATACCGAGTCTTCTATACTACAGCTTCGTCGCGTCAATCTCAAACACATGGACCCTCTCGTCTCTGTTGTCCCACTTCTCGCGACTCTCCGCCATAAGCGTCCCCGGTGACGGGGCCGTTTGCACAAAGTTCTTCACGGCCCGTGCGGGGAAGAAGAAGTGCAGAGCGCAGTACACGAACGCGCTGATCGCGAGGCCCACAAGAAAGCATATGTAGTACAGGTGCATCAATCCGTCGGGGACCGTGATCTTGGGGTTCACGTATGCGACGAAGCCGGGGAGCGAGGGTGCGGTGCCGCAGACCCACTGTACATAACGTCAGCAGTCATGACTAAATGACAAGAGAATATAGTAAGAGCAAAAGGAAGATGGGCTGAGACTCACCGCAATGATGGCCCGCCAATTGACGCCAAGTGTGAACCAGTAGATGCTGCCAGAGGAGCCGAGATAAAGGTCATCGACCTTGATCCGACGCCGGTTGACAATAAAGTACGACGAGATCATCAGCCCTGTCATCGGGCCCAGGAACACGGAGTAGCTGCTCAGGACGGCCAGGAAGGTGGTTGCCGTGTTGACGAGTTTCCACGGGTTGCACGCAACCGAGATGAGCGCCGTGATGTAGGCGCCGCGGCGGATGTTGATAAACTTGGGGAATGTTGCCGCGAGGTCGAAGCCTACCCGAGTCAGCAAGAAATTCGATATTATATGAGATGTGAGGCAGATGCGTGGGCGTGAACGGAGAAAAGTAAAGCAACAATACAATGTCCAACCGAGACAGTATCATTATCAATTATGAATAAGTGCAAGGAGAGTTGACTCACCTCCGGATAGCGCGTTGCCCGGTACGTTAACGCCAATCTGGCTCACCACCAGTGCCGCACCCCCAAAGAAGGCGGCGGCCCTCGAGCGCGAACCGCCATGCTCGATAATGGCACTCAGCAGGTTGGGTAGGTTCCAAAGCGCTTGGCCGTAGCGGTTCTGAGTGGCGGCCGTCACGAGGATGCCGATGACGGAGCAGCTGATGGCGTAGACGGGGAAGCTGAAGAGCTGGCCGTAGATGGCATCACGGGGCCTGCGGGCAAACCTCGCGTAGTCGTTCTGGTTGAGGATGCCGGCGGCAATCGACCCAATGGTGCTGATGATGCCGAAGGCGATGTTCCAGCCGGGGGTGCCCGAGGCGGTAGAGGATATCGTGGCTCCAAAGCCCGAGGGGCCCATGGTGGCCAAGGCCCAGATAAGCAGGACGATTTCGAAGACAAGGATGACGGCGGCGGACACGTAGAAGAAGTACTGAAGCTTATGCGGGCGCACGTAGATGACGGGCATAGAGATGACCATAAAGATAATGTAGGCGACAAAGCTGGCGGTGGTCATGCCGGTCGAGGCAGGCATGTGGTTGGGAATGCGGCTCTCGATCGAGGGCCAGATGGCCTGCAGGCACACGTAAACACACTCGCCCCCGACCCATGCCTGGAAGCCGTCTGGAGTCATGTTAGTATGATCGAGATAGAATATATCGAGGTGTGTCGTTAAGGAGTTACGCAGCAACGAATGTGTATCAAGGACAGAGGAATACTATGCAGACATGTTCATATCATACGGCTATTTCCACAGAGGAAAGGTGGTAGATGGAGAGTGAGCCGCCGGAAAGTGCGCAAGGGAGAATCATCGAGGAAACGGGAGAACGATACATACACCACACTAAATCGTCAGCATCTGGCCAGCTCTAACACGGATTTGACACTCACCAACTGATAGCAAGATACGATTCCACAGCACAAACGTGCTGCCGTACATCCCCCAGACATAGCGATTCACGACTGGGAAGCCCACTAAGCCATTTATCAGTCTCGTTCTCGTCTGGGTAGAGCTCAAACAGTTCACTCATCAAGCTTTCCCGATCAAGTGGTTGCAGCAGGCAAAGGACCACTCACAGTGATAGTAGGCCCCAGGTACCGAGTTCAGGACGACCAACAGTGTTGCTATGATATTGCCCACGACGATGGCGATGATCGCCTGCCACCAGGTCAACCCAAGCGCGATCAGCGAGCTACCCGTCATATACGATGAGATATTCGATTGCACCAGCACCCCTGCCAGAGTCAGCATCCATATTCACCACCGAAGACGGATTCCACTATTCTAAACGGCAGAAAACTTTTGCCATCCCGAATGGAGTGCAAACTGACAGTAGTTGTGGAAGGTCCAAAACCCCCAGGTGCGCCGCCCGCTCTCGATCGGCTTGATGTCATTGTTGATCCAGCGGTCCGGGATCGTGCCTCCCTCGTGCTTGACCTCGAGGCGTCGAATTAACTTGTCCATGTCGATACCGTTCTATCAGGCCAGACAGCTGTTCAAGTCGGGTCCAAGCACGATCTGATCAGTTGGGAGTATGTACATACACATGGTGAGGATCGCCCGATGGTGCACAAACTGACAGTCGGCAGATATATCTTCTGCCGCTATAGCTCCTCAAGCCACCAGTGCTGCGACCTCGGCCAGCTGTCAGGCCGTCGAACCAGACATCGTCTTATCGCAAGGAGGGAGACGATCTTCGTGCGGACACGCGACAGATAAGCCACACCCCGGAACGGATACCATTCACCAACGGAAAACAGCCGCATACAGAGAGATCAGAATCAATGCAGATAACGTCAACCTGACGGCGTCGGGTAGGAATACTGCTTCCAGTTTGGCCCCGGGGCAGCATTTGGCTACAGTGGAGCGATCAAGTGGACTGAGCTCTGACCGTTGCATGTTTTCGCTCCCCGGGTGATAGGGTCGGCAAAGCGACGCTCGTGTTGCCGGAAATCCCCCTTCGTATTTGCATGGCGCTACTGTCCCAGCCGTCGTCGAGATGATGGATTTGGAAGGTCGATAGCACTAGAGAAGAGCACTGTCACGAGGCAAGCCTCCACTGGAGAATGCCTGGCTGCAGTTACGGTTGCTAGGGCGAGTTCTCCGCACAACTGCCGACACTAGCTAAGCGCCATCGTTATCAACAACCGGACACGCTCCGGTTCGGCGTTTGCTATTGGTAACGCTATTAGCAATCCTGTCGGTCATCTCCAACCTCAGATCTCCTCCGCTCCGATCGCTCTCGGCCAAGGAGCCTGCCCACTGGAAGCTCGATGCGACGCCGCAGCCCTGGGCCTAGATACACACTGGACCCTCCAGAAGCCTCATCCCAGTTTGGTGTGACTCACGGCTATAAAGGTCCAGGAACCTGGTCCGCGCCATGGCGACAGCAGGGTGCCTGGGAAGTTGTGGCATGTTCGGTCCGAACCGCTTGTGAAGACAGCAAGACCGAGCCTTTCTGCGTTAATTGGTCGACAAATTATCCTCCCAGTTAGAGAAGCCGGCTGAGTAGATTATGAAGACCTAAGGCCGATCGAGCTGGTTCAATTAAAAGAAATAAATATTCAGTCGAGACAAAATGGCCTATCGCATCGGTGTCGACGTTGGTGGCACCAACACGGACGCCGCCATCATCGATATCACTGCTGCTGACTCCCCCTCGCGCGGTGTATGCGCTTCCAGCAAGACGCCCACCACCGTAGATGTGACCAGCGGCATCTATACCGCCATCGAGGGCGTCCTCGCCAAATCGCAGGTCGACAAGCGCAAAATCCTCAGCGTCGCTATCGGCACCACCCACTTTGTCAATGCTGTCGTCGAGGCTGATGCCCGCCGTCTCAGCAAGGTCGCCGTCGTGCGGCTCTGTGGGCCGTTCACGAGACAGGTGAGGGAGAGATGCTCCTCAGAAAAGGAGACAAGAGAATGCTGAGTCCGATCAGGTGCCTCCGTTTGCCGACTTTCCCCCGGCCCTCAAAGCGATCATGGGCGGACCCGTATTCTATCTTGATGGCGGTAAGAAATGACTCCATTGAAGGACCTACTGGACAGCTTCGCAACCTGTGAGAAGAAGCGCAGTCCATGTTCAAATACACTAGTAACTAGATGCTGAGTGTGCTCGCGACAGGTCTCGAGATTGACGGGCGCGAGATCAGCCCGCTGAACCCGTCGCAGATCAAAGCCACCGTCGAGAGCATCCAGCGCGCCGGCATCCAGATGGTCGCTATTGTCGGCGTCTTCTCGCCCCTGGACCATGCTGGCATCCATGAAGAAACCTGCAAAAAGATGATGCTCGACCTTGATCCGTCGCTCTCCATCGTCTGCTCGCATGCCATAGGAGGTGTAGGCCTGCTTGAGCGCGAGAATGCCACCATTCTCAACGCTTCCATTCTCAACTTTGCTCGCCGCACCGTGCGCGCCTTCTGCAAGGCCATGGTCAAACTAGAGCTTACATGCCCGTTGTTCTTGACTCAGAATGATGGAACCCTGACGGACGCTGCCACTGCTGCCGAATTTCCCATAAAGACCTTCGCCAGCGGACCGACGAACAGTCTGACCGGCGCCGCTTTTTTGGCTTCCCTCGATCGTGGTGCGAACCTGGCGGCGCCCGAAACCCAGGTGCTCATGATAGATATTGGAGGTACCACTAGTGACGTCTGTGCCCTGCTGCCCTCTGGATTCCCGCGACAGGCCCCGAATTTCGTCGAAGTGGGTGGCGTTCGGACGGCCTTCTCAATGCCAGAGGTTTTGTCAGTCGGGCTCGGCGGCGGCAGTCGGGTCTCGTTCGACGAGAAAACCGGCAAAGTCAGCGTGGGACCGGACTCAGTTGGCCACTATCTGACCAGCAAGGCCTTGGTCTTTGGCGGAGATGTGATGACGGCGACGGATATTGTAGTGGCCTCGGGGAAAGCCCAGATTGGCGATGCCTCCAAGGTCGCCCACATCTCCGCAGATGTAGTGGTCAAGGCGCGTAGTGAGATCAAGAAGATCATCGAGCGTACCGTCAACCGGATGAAGGTATCTGACCTGCCCGTTACCCTTCTTCTCGTCGGAGGTGGTTCCATCGTTCAGATGGACCCTCTTGATGGCGTCGCCAAGTGCATTGTTCCCCCACACCACGATTCCGCCAATGCCGTTGGTGCGGCCATTGCAAAAGTTGCAGGAGAAATTGATGTCATTGAGATCCTTGCCGATCGAGACGAGAAGGCCGTCGTCGCAGCCGCCCAACAAAAGGCAATCGAGCTGGCCGTGGCCCGAGGCGCGGACAGGACCGACGTCAAGATCGCCCAGATCGACAAGATTCCCCTCCAATACGTCTCGAACAAGGCCACGAGACTCGTTATCAAAGCTATCGGCAAATTAGCCCAACCGGACACAAGTTCACCTACTGCATCCCAGCAATCCGGTTCGATTGCCGTGGACGGCCTGGACGACGATGTCGACGAACCACCAAAACAGAAGGCTTCGGCGGATGCTGCACTCTCAGCCGTCAAGCATTCTGCCTACATCGATATCGACGCATATAAACCAGAAGTACGGGACGGTGTCTGGTACATTTCACCTGTGGATCTCGAGTTCATTGCCACTGGTACTGGCGTCTTGGGAACCGGCGGCGGAGGACCATCCTATCTCCAATACCTTGAGTGTCTGGAACGCCTTCGAGACCCGGCGTCAAAAGGCCGCATGCGAGTTATCAGCCCGTCCAGCCTCAAAGACTCGGATGTCTGTGTCTTCGGTTCGTGGTACGGCGCTCCCAGCGTGTCTGGCGAGAGGATCCCTGCCGGCACTGAAATTCCCAGAGCCATCGATTATTCCGTCAAAATATCTGGCCAGACGCATTTCGAAGCTGTAATTGCAGACGAAATCGGCGGTGGCAACGGTCTGTCGTCCTTCCCCACGAGCGCTCATTTTGACATCCCGGTGGTTGACGGGGACCTGATGGGACGGGCCTATCCGACTATGGAGCATGGTGAGTCGAATTGGCAACAAAGCTCGTCTCATCGCTTTGTCTTTTTGCTCACACTCTTTAATCAGGTACTCCCTATGTTTATGGCCATCCTCTCACCCCGTGCGTGTTAGCGGATGGCAAGGGGAACGCGGGTGTAGTTTTGGTATGTGCAATCTTCGGTTCTTCCGACTTGTCATCTGCTAACCGATCCAAATAGCATGCAGAATCGAATAAAAGGGTCGAGACCATGCTCAGATCGCAATGCGTTGACCTTGGCCTAATGGCAGCAGCTGCGGCAACTCCTCTGACTGGAGACGTGATTCGGAAATATGCCATCCCCAACACCGTGTCCCAGGCATGGTATATTGGACGGGCAATCCACAAGGCGAGAAAGTCGAAGACCAACATTATCAAAGCAATTGTAAGAATATGACCTACTCTTCTCTCGGATAAGAACTTATACTGATGATCTCCGTGTGACTTCTAGTTTGACACAACTCCAGGTCGCCTTCTCTATACCGGCAAGATTATCGACGTCAAGCGCGATGTCAGCCGTGGATACACCATGGGTCAGTGCGTTGTTGCGCCGTTAAGCGGTGATGAAAAGGACACGACGATGGCCATAGAGAATCCCGTGGTGGAAGAAGAGCGTCCAATTGTGATTCCGTTCCAGAACGAATTCCTGTATGCTGCTTATGCTGATCCCACTGATCCTGACGACCAGTCCCGTTACGAGATGATCTGCACAGTTCCAGACCTAATCTCAATTCTGGGACCGGACGGCGAGGCCATTGGGTCTCAGGAGCTGCGATACGGCCTCCATGTGAGTATCATCGCAATGGCTGCCCATCCGCTGTGGACTGGCGACGAACGAGGCTTGCGTGTCGGTGGTCCGAAGGGCTTTGGTCTCGATATGGAATGGACGAGCATTGGGCCGTACCAGGAGCCCCCAAGCGTGATTGCTGAGTTTAATGTGTCCTCATCGTCCTGATTTAGGATGTGTACATTGTTCATAGACCTGAACACAATAGAAAAGAAAATGATTTCGTAGATATTCTCCCATTTGGAGAATTCTTACACATTGTAACATCGCAATTGACTGGTCCTCTCGATGAAATATTCTCGGTCCACAAATTTCTTGAGATCAAGCGGGAAGGTCTAGGATATTTTGTGAAGTTGAGCAGCAAAGACAATTGACACAAATTTGCCATTCAAGTCTCTAGTCTCTTACTGTGTGGAGCCATAGTTGCTAGCACAGAACTGCCTTTGACGGCAAGTTTCCTGAATTATAACAACATCGAAATGAAGCAAGATCGGTTCTGCGTCTGCAATAATGCTGGAAGGAGCAAACATTCCTTTTCTTTAAGAGACGAAGAAGTGATGGAACGAATCTCACTCTCTGGTTTGTTCCTGTTGATTGAGACTCTCCATAGTGATGGCAAATCAGAATATGATGCCTTCCAGGTATCTGTTTGCATTAAATCAAACGAGCTATCGAGAAAGATGAAAAGCTTCGATTCCTGAAGGTGCGAGAGACTGGGTGGCCGAAATATGTCTCTGATAGGCAGTCACGCGAGGCACGCGATACACGCAGCCCTGACCCTAGGCCCTAAGCCCTGATTCTAGCTGCTGAGCCAAGAGATCCCGCCAGAATACATTGTATATTGATTTTTGTCCTATTTTTTTTTTATTTTGCAAGTCAACTTCTGATTACAATCATTCATCTCTACTCTCTAATCTGATTATATCGAATTACACTGTCATGGAATTGTGAATCTGAAAATAGAGGTCTTTTCCTCATACAGGCAGTAACACTTCACTACAAGGCACGTATATTATTCCCGGAACTCACTACGAGGCTTATCCGGATGCTGTCGACGTCGTTGTCGGCTACCGCCTTTGCCGAAGCCATCGAAGCCAGCTTGGACGCCATCCTGGCTCGGTCAAAGCGCCGACGAATAAGGCCCTGATCAGAAGCGTTTTGTGCTGAGCGACTTCGGCGCCGGCGGAAAACTGACTTTGACTGTGCCGCTCTGGTTGCACAAGGGATCAAACGCTGACGGGGACAAAAAGTATATCAAACTGGTCCGCCTGGTAGCGTTCTTCCGCCGGCAGAAACTGTATTCAGACCAGAAACGGGAGAAATGTTTCGAATCCGATTACTCGCAGAAGCCCCATGACCTCCGGCCATGATCGAGACATTCGACGAGTCGTGCCTGTTTGGGCTGCATCCATTACTATTGCGTTCAAAGACAGGACATCATGAACTTGATTCATTGCATTTGCATCTGTTTCCTGTTCTGACTCCCATATGTAGTACAAGAAAACGGCCGTGGTTGGGGACTGCGAAGAGGGCGTGCATATATGTGCCTGTCTGCAGTGAGGCAGCTGAAAGGTTACGCAAATTGCGTTGACGTTAAAAAAATATTGGAGCTACGAACATGTTCCTGACTTGACTTGTGGAATACATATGTATGGTTCTTATCTCTTTATCTGTCTTTGTTAAAGGTATTTAAATTCCAGTAAGCGCTTACTGGGCTGAATCAGGCTTCAGTCCTGGCCATTCCTAACCTAAGGCTCACGTTGTACAAGCATTCTTTTTTTTTTCTAATTATCTGAAGTCAAAGATTACTGGGTATTTACCATTTATACTGTCAAGTGATCGATGCGGGATTGAGAGGAAGTGTTCAGTCGAGTGCGGTTGTTACACAGCTATGTTGAACTAAAGAATTCACCTGAATTTATATTATCGGTAGATATTTCTGCATTTCTAGGATCCAGCCAAGATACAAATGACAGGGGAAAAACTTTTACAAGTATCCATGCTTTGCAGCGCCACAGCACAGCAAACTGAGAGAACCACGACCTTCAGCTACATACATATACCTCTGCTCCTTCTGTATTCTCTTCTACTCCTTTTCAGTTTTCTTTGCTGCTTGTTGAGCCAAGACATGGGGTGGCTGACAGCGATTTGTATGTCTCGGTTTTCCGCCACACAGAATAGGTTTGACGCTATAGAGAGGTAGTAAAAGCAGTCTTTTTTTTTTGTCTACATTTACCAACAGTGACTAATTCCTTTCGTCAACGCAGGGCGCCTGTGTCGACAGCCTAGCAGAAGTTGTCACCCTCGCTCGCAATCCTGATTACCGAATTGGACAGCGGGCTGTGCTGCTAGCAGGGTAGTTCTCGACGTTTGGCCAATCACGAAGCTATTTCGGACAACTCGGTGCGATTTGCACCGTCAGCTGAAGACCATTATACTGTTCTGTCATCGCTGACTGTCCGCTTAACCTTGTTCGTGGGGGGTAGCTTCAGCCGCGGGGATGGCTCCCATATCCATTTATCGGTTGATCTACTCCGGAAAACTCAAGGCTCAAGTGCTTCTATCACTGTGACTTTCAGTCCCGCCGATCTGGCTTGGTGGGTAATATACTATTCTGGATTTCTGCAGGCATGGATCGACGATCCGACAATCAGATGACGCCACGGCGTGGATGGCCATGACAAAAACGCTCAAGCAGCAGAACCTTGGGAACGGGACGGCACATCCGAGGGACTAAGAGTGGATCGGCTCCATCCTCAGCGATCTAGCGCCACGAACTATTATACCTAATCTCTTCATTTATCTACACGAACCACCACCCTTCCAGCCTCGAACCACTATTCTTCTCTTTTCTCCCCCTGATTGGCGCCCAGAACCCACTGAGATCGGGCACAAGAACAGCTGGTCTGTGCTCGGTGGGCGCCGTCCCCGGCCTTGTTGACAGCCTAACCGAGGAAGATTGACAGCTTGACCTCTGAGTTGCAACCATTATGGTCTCAATGTTGAGTATCTATTCCTACTATCCTATTCCATAGCCTAGTATCTGATGATATTGGGTCTAGATCGCCTCAAGAGTCGAAGATGGGCCCAAAGGCAGGCACACCCCTCGCCTCAAGTCCAAACACCAACTTTTTAGTCAATACAGGATTGCTAATCACGCAGACCGCCTCAGCCGCGAAGTCGCCCACGAGATGCTGGACGATCGGCAACATGTCGACACGCCCGCTCTTGCTTGTGTCAATCACCACGGGATCGGGATCCATCCTCTCCACCAGATCGATAACCGCTTGCCCGTACGTCTGGAGCGGGTCCCGCGTTTGCCACACGACCCTCATCGCAGGGCGATGCTCGTCGCCCAAGAATGACAGGCACGGTCCAATTCCAGACCCAGTCGTCACCACGATCACCCTTCGGAAGACCCGCATCGCGTATGCAAACCCGTAGATCAGCACTCCGCGCTTCCAGAGGTGGGTAGGCGGGTGCTGGATACAGTCTGTGGTCCAATCGCCAGCCTTAGACACCAGACAGGAGAAGCTCTTCCCATCTGGATCCGGGAAGGTTGCGAAGCCGTGCCAATCCTGCAAGGGGTGCTTCGACAGTTGGATACCTTTCCCGAACGTGGTTGTGGCGTGGTCGAAATGCAATCGGATTGCGTGGCGAGATAGAACCTCTGGCCGGACCCGCACCTTGCGCAGCAGCAACCAAGGGTGGATAATCGCGACGATCGTCACCATGAGGAACCAGAACGCCGGGAGCTGAATAAGATATCGGCCGAGGCTGAGGCTGAGGCGTTGGGCCTGTCGGGCATCATTGGCGAAGAGCAGCAGCAGTGCCAAGAAGAGCGCCACGACCAGCCAGCCTGCAAAGCGGTGGGTCAGCTCGAAATAGTCATGTCGTCTGAACCGGAAAGTTGGATATGCGACGACGATAATGGCCAGTAGCAGGGCTAGGATGACATATGAGAGAACCACAACAGCGGTCGAAATGGCGACAATGGGAGCGTCTCTGGGGAACCAGTACTCCCGCGAGACGAGAGCGACCAGGCCGATATACCACACGAAAGCCGCGATGCCGCAGCCGCTGTGGACTCCGCCGTAGTGATAGACCTTCGCGGCGATGCGGCGGAGTCGTAGTGGCGCGGATCGGGGAATAGAGCAGACGATCAGGAAGATGGCGTTCACGATCAGAGGTTGTCGTGCCAGGCCACAAACGACCAGGTTTGCGGCGGCTGCGCTGACGAAGGATAAGAGAGATCGGTCCCTGACCATGACCGCAATGAAGACCGCAAGGTTGGCAAAGAAAACTAACGAGAACAGGCGACGGTAGATATCGAGCAGTGTATATCTGATGAAGGCATATATCCGCGGCCGCTTCTTCTCGGTCTGTGCTTCCAGATCTAGGGCGGTTTTCTGTGTGATATCCCCTTTTCTGAGGCTGGACGCGCTCTCAGTCGGAGTGTCGCTGAGCCGCGTGCTCGTGTGCGAGGGCGAGATTTCCTTCTCGCTGACGGCGCTTTGATCTGCCATTGTATGTACAGACGCACAAGTAGTCAAACACAACAATGCAAAGGCGAAAAAAAAAAACAAATTCTTCACGGAAACATGCTCAGAAATGCCGCCAGATCGAAGATATGGCTGGATATAAACACGATTGAAATCCCGGTGGCAACGAGCCAGGTGACATTCTTGAAGGCAATCTCTTTCAATTCTGATATGACAACAATGGCCTCATTTTTGAAGCTCTCACTTGCTCCACCAGGAATGCTACTTTATGCTACCTGGCTGGTACAAGTGGAGAGAGTGATGGACTGAGTAATTAATCATCACATCACTAATCTCACAAGCTTTTTCAGGTTGCAAGCAGGAGGGATCCTCCCTTGCTCGTCGTCTAGCCCTAATGCGGCAGGAAGACTGGCACGAATCGGGGAAGCCCGAGCTCCAGCTGTAGGGCTATAATATCGGGGGGTTTGCCTAGTAGGCTTTTGTCGTCATCTACTGGCCAGGTCGGTCCTCCCATCCTCTCCTGGTCAGACCCGGTCAGCTCGCCTGTGGTTGTATGCCACACCAGCTTCCGTTTAACCGGTCATGTTCTCATTCGGCGAACGAGATCGGCATCCACTAGACAAGAATCCTATCCAGGTGGGTGGGTATATGTAGAAGAATCCAATCTTGCAAGATCGACCCTAACCATAATACACCAGCGGGGTGGCGAACAGATAGAAGATCGATAGTTCAGCCCCCTGGGGACAAAAGACTCAGGTCCGGCTCCAGAATCTGAAAGACTGAGACCTGACTGGGCCTCTAGCTATTCTCCGAACGGCAGGGATTTGGCAGAAATTGACCATAGCAAACGAGTCACGGTACCTCTGTTTGTCTGCCTGTCCCCAGGAAAAAGTGGATAATGTACCGCCTCGGCAGCTGTGCAGGTCCAGTCAGCTGGAGGGGGACGTGGCGGGATACGTACCTCCCTCCATGAGTCCAGTATAACAAATTAACCGACTGGATGGCCACTCTGAAAGGCTCACATGGCACCCTCGCTCTAGGCAAGGGTCGAACATGAGGTGGCCAATAAGACCCGTCAACGATCGATTGACCCTGTCAGCTCTAGATGGCGTTGCAGTCCTGAATGGAATGAATATGCAGACCCAACCCTACGTCACTGCCTGCATCGGCTCGGGCCTTACGTCCGCCTGGTCCGGTAGATTTTGAATTTCACAAGGCTGCACCTTTTGGGCCAAGCGAGTATTTGTCATGACAAGCAGTTCGTCATCCGACCCGATGCGGATTATTGAGAAATAATGGACAGTACTGGTCCGTGATCTGGTCAAAGGATCCCACAGACTGGTCATTATTTGTCATGCTGGAGACAGTTCCCATTCTTGTGTCATGTCTGGGGATCATGGACGACGGGTATAAAAGGCGTTCATTGCCCGGCGTATCGACGGGCAGATGAAGACCAGCTTAGCATCTTCTCTCTTTCCTTCAGATACAGAGTGATCGACTTTTCTGCCCTAAATTATATCGTCATCATGGGGGCTCAGGTATCGTACTACATGGACGCTCGCCCACCGCCCCACGCCCCTGTATACAAGGATCTGCTGTCGTTTGTGTTCGACGACCGTCCGGTCGAATACGATGAGCAGCGGCCCATCTACATCGATGCAGAGAACCCGTCGTGGGCGCTGAACGCGCGCCAGTTCCGGGTGCTGGTGCGGACCTTGATTGCGGGCTTCAAAGCGTGGAATCTCCAGCCCGGGGAGTGTGTGTTGGTCCATTTGCCAAATAATGTATATCCATTTATTCGATCATGCCGTTTGGTATGTTGTGTTCAGTGGCTGACGGTTGATAGGTTCTTTATTCTGCCATATTCTACGGCATTATAGGCGCCGGGGGCGTCTACATGGGCACCAACCCGCGCAGCCAGCCGCACGAGCTGCAGCACCTGCTGCAGCTTGCGGAGCCAAAGTGGATCATCACGTCGCCGGACGGGCTTCCCGTGCTGCGGGAAGTGGAGACGTTGAAAGAGCTGTCATCGAGCCAGATCTGCGTCCTGGATGCATATGCCATTGCCCGTCTGTCGCAGTTACTGCTATCCACCCAGAGCACAACGTGTGCCTCGCAAGATGAGACAGACAAAGAGATGGGCATTCTTAACTTTGCCAGCCTACTTGACCACGGAGAGAGTGACTGGATCCGGTTCGATGAGAAAACTGCAGCAGAAACCACACCGGCCGCCATGTTCACGACTAGTGGCACCGGAGGCCTGCCCAAGGCGGCGATTCTCTCGCATCACGCCATGGTCACCCACCATCTGAGCATCCAGTATCCGGTCCCATACGATGTGACCCGGCTGATGTCGCTGCCCATGTTCCACCTCTTCGGCTCCCTGTGGAGCCACATCTTCCCGATCCGCTACGGCCAGCCGTTGTACGTGCTGCCGCGGTTTGAGATCAGCCAGTACGTGCGCACTATCTACCTATACCGCATCACGGAGACCTACATGGTGCCGGCGATGGTGCAGGCGCTGAACCGGTGTTCGTCGCTTGCCCTGAGGGAGTATTTGGCCTCTCTGCGGTATGTCGGCGTAGCCGGGGCGTCCATTGATGCGGTGTCCCTCCGACGCTTCCAGGACCAACTTCATCCCGACGCGCAGATTTCGCAGCTCTGGGGCATGACCGAGGTCGGCGTTGCGTTCCAGATCCGCTACGGCGAGCGGGATGAAACAGCCAGCATCGGACGTCTGCTGCCCAACTACGAGATCAAGCTGCTCGATGGCCAGGGGCGGGCCGTAACGGCGGATAACCAACCTGGCGAGCTGTATGTCCGCGGGCCGGGCACGTTGATCGGGTACCGGGGGATGCCTCCGGCCAAGGACGAGGACGGCTGGTTCCGTACGGGCGATATCGTGTGTGTCCGGGGCGGCAAGTTCTACATCGTAGGGAGGGCCAAAGAGCTGATCAAAGTGAGGGGGTGAGTAGATGATATTTCTGCCTGAACAACATATTTAAATCGAGCTATTTCTAATGGACGATTCTAGTTGGCAAGTCGCTCCCGCAGAGATCGAAGCAGTCCTGCTGAAACACCCCGAGATCGTCGACGCGGCTGTCATAGGAGTCACGCAGAAGGACCCGCAGGACGACACCGGGATGGTGACCGAGGCCGTGCGCGCCTTCGTTGTTCGACGCAAGGGTCAGCACGCCAGCAAGCTGACGGCAGACGAAGTCTACTGGTTTGCGCGGCGGCAGCTGGCCAGCTACAAGGCTCTGGACGGGGGGGTCATCTTCGTCGAGGACATCCCGCGCACTCCCAGCGGCAAGATCCAGCGGTACAAGCTCGCGCAGATGAACTCGTACCGGGAGATGGTGTCGTCGTTGATGCAGCGGTTTGACACCGTCAACCACGGCACATCTGTTACTGCTGGAATCGGCAGTGTTGCAATCGGCACGTCTACAACTAGCGTGAGTGTGGGAAACGTATGACGACACGATTTAGCTGAATTAATTAGTTATGAGTTGGACAACATTCATTGCATTCTCACCAGTTTGGTTACCGGTGAGCAGGAGTGCTGGCAGGATCGATTGGAGTTGTGGAGTGAACTTTTTTTTTCTATCCATTAATCAGTACACATAAAAGTGTTTTGTTTGTAAGTAGTTCTGCTGTTGCTTTAAATACATATTTGAGATATATTTCTATCGAAAGATACAAATCACTTTTCAACTTAGGACGGACATCTCGACATAATATATATTTTCTGAGGAGAAAACCTCTTCAAACTTGAATGAAACGAAAGATCCGTCCTATATTATATATTACCATCTACCTATCTATCTAGATAGGATAGAAGACTCCCTCGGCGTCAACAATATTTTATTTTTACATAATCCAATCCGCCACAACAGCTGAGCTGGGAGATTGAGAGCGACTTGACTTGACTTGAAAGAAAGAAAGAATGAATGAATGAACGAAAAAAGAAAGATCTGACAAAATGACCGGCTGCTGCAGTACATATACTACATCCTGTTCTTAATATTTTGTAAAGATAATTAATTATCATTGTTGTTCTCATTCATCAGAGGAGCTAACTAGAATCTAATAGATGGATTTTATTTATTTATTTATTTATTGCTCAGTTGAAAAATCCCATCCTTCCATCCTTCCATCCTTCCTGTTCTTGAGAGCTAGCTATGACTAACTAACTTGGCAATAATAATAGAATAGCTATAATTAATGGAGGAGGTGAAGTGATATTACTTACTTACTATCCTTGGCTTCCAATGTTTTCTTTGCTTTCCTGTTATGATTGATTAATTGCACCACTACGGAAATAAATATTAATAATATAGAGCGGTGTTTGTTTTTTTTTTTCGCTTAATCATCCATCCATCCATCCATTCATTTCGTTCATTTCATTCATTTCATTCACTTGTTCCTTCCTTGTTACACCCTAAAAGACAAGAAAAAAAAATGGAAAAAATCGATACAAAATTTTCCATAACCTAACCTAATCTATCCTATCGTAACTCCTATCGTAACTCGTAACGTAATGTTCAGAGGGAATGATGCTTCCTAGATAGCTTCGTTCCTCCTCTCCCACTTATCGTGTATCATATCATATATATTGATATTTCATGCTTGATGCTTGATTATAACATACTATATGTCCTTCACTTCCGGTCGAACTGCCAGTCGAACCTCCCAGGTCGATCCTCGTACGGAAATGCCCGTCGATCATCGAATCGAAACGGCCGCTGATCGTCATAGTCAAAGCGATGCGAGGCCTTCCCGACCATTACCCGCCTGTTGCGGTCGTCGTCTGGCGTGGGCGAGTGCATTGCCTCTACGTGGCAGGTGTAGCCCGTCGTTGTCAGGCGCGACTTGTTGGATGACCACGTCCGAGGCCGTCCCGTGTAGGACTGCGGTCGCGGCACGAAATGCTTCGATTCCCACGCCTTGCTCACCGCTGCGTACAGCTCGTCTACCTGCTCCAGTGACAGCCCCTTCGTCTCGTACACCATGAACCACACGAACACGCTCGCCACCACGCAGCATCCGCCCCAGATGAAGAATACCTTCGCCTGCAGGTTCAGGTTCCCCGGCCCCGCGTCGATCATGTACGGGATCGCGTACGCCAGCCCCCAGTTGACCAGCCAGTTGGACGCTGTCGACATGGACAGCGCCTTGGCACGCACTTTCAGCGTGTAGATCTCGCCGGGAACGACCCATACCACGGGCCCCCACGAGCAGGCGAAGAAGAAGATGTACATACACAGAAAGGCCACCGACGCTTTGTTGGCGACGGGATCCTCCTTCAGCGCCGTGCCCACCGATGCGACGATCAGCTGGCAGATGGCCATCCCCGTACCCCCGAACAGGAGGAGAGGGCGACGACCCCATTTCTCGACCATCCACAGTCCCGGGATCGTGGAGGCCATGTTGACGACGTTGGTGATCACCGTGATGGTGAACGCGTTGCGCATCCCCGCCGTCTGGAAGAACGAGGTCCCGTAGTAGAAGATGAAATTCACCCCGGTCAGCTGCTGGAATGCCTGCAGGAGACAACCCGTGGCGAGGCGCTTGCCCAGGTTCCCCCGGAAGCAGTCGAGGTAGGTGTTGCCGCCCAGGTTGAGCTCCCGCTCGTGGTGCTGGGCGATGTCTGCTAATTCAGCCAGATGAGGACTGTTGACTGGAAGTCGTCGCAGCCTGGCCAGTGACCGAGCCGCCGCATCTAGGCGGTTTCGCTTGATGAGATAGCGAGGCGTCTCCGGGAGAGTGATCATCCCGGCCATCAGAAGCAGAGACCAGGCGGCCTGCACCGCGAGCGGGATCCGGTACGACCCCGTGTCATTCCGGTCCTTGGTCGCGTTGTCCACGATCGCCGCGAGGAACAGCCCAACAGTAATAGCAAACTGATATGCGCCGACGATAAAGCCTCGGATCCATTTCGGTGCAGTCTCGGATTGGTAGAGCGGGACTTGACCCATTATTATTATTAGCAGGACAGCCGACCTCAGACGAAGAAAACTCAAACTTACTCAGGGTAGATAGCATCCCAACTCCATACCCGGCAAGAAATCGACCGACGACGAACAGCGGAATGGCCGACGCCGCTGTCTGCAGCGTGACGCCCAGGATGAAGACAGCGTTCGCCGCGATGAGACCCCATCGTCGGCCGATCCTGTCGGCAGCCGGGGCGGCGAAGAGCGCGCCAAAGAAGGTGCCAGCCGAGAGGATGGAGACGATCAAGGATTTCTGGCCGGCGGTGATGTCGGGCAGTCCGGTGATGGGGTTGATGTAGCCGGTCGAGAAGCTGTCTTTCCATTGCTGCATGGCCAAGATGCCATTGATGTTGCCGGTATCATATCTGGACGATCGTCGTTAGCTCAGACGAGTCGCTCCTACGAGTTTCCAGACTGACGGGATTGCAACCTACCCAAAGAGAATCCCTCCCAACGCAACGAAATGCCCGACCAGGATGGCGGGCACCGCAGAGCCAGGCACACCGGCCGGCGGGCGCAGGTGGATCTTCCCGAGAATGGACGCGAGGCATGTCATTCTCACATGGTAACGACGGGACGGCGCGAGGATCGAAGCGATAAGGTGCAGAAGGAATCTGCGACAGAATCTGGGGGGAGATTAGGTGGAGCTCGCCATCGGCGGCCGCCAGAGCGGTGGGCAGGGTGCTGTATATACCCCGGCCTCGGACTCGGCGTCGACTCCCCGGATCGTACGTAGGTCGACGGAGGGTGCATGGGTCGATGTTGGTGCATCGTCTTTTCTCTCGGAACATCCCGGTGGCGGGGAAGAGCCGAGGAGGGCTCACGAATCAGCAGCGCACGCAGACAGTGTCCAACATTAAGGTTCCACTGCATGACAGTTGCATCTTTGCAGATTTCCCAGTACGGCACCGCGTGCTGACCGGGGGCGGGTCTTCTGCCAATGCCGGAGGACGCAGCTCAGCTCGTGCTGGATTGGGGTAACGCAGCATCTGCTCTCGTCCGTCGCACTAGGCGTCAGCACAAGCCACGCAAGGCCGGATCACGGCCGAGGACGCTTCTGCGGGCGTACGGAGGCATCTGCGGACGTAATGGGGTTGTAGTATATGCCCCAGTCCAACGGCTGAACTGTTATCTGAGGACTGCGAAAACAGACACGATATTGGCCATCGAGCAAGGCATCGCGAGGGACGGGGCGACACTACGCGACGACGCAGCACACGAGTCAGCACACACAGCACGTTGGGTGCAATTCAATGCCGGGGGCGATGTTACCTCCGGATCAACTAACTCGCAGGCCTAGATCCGTCCCCTGCGCCGGGGCGGACGGCGATTGGACAATCCCGCGCTGACAGACCAGGGGCCGCAGAGGAGCTGGCCAAGGCCCCGATCAACCCCGGATACAGGCTCAATAGGCTGAGCAGACTGCGGGGCAGAGGAAACGCAGATACGACGTCCGGAGGAGCAGCGCTGCTGGTATCTGCCGCTGCCCCTCCCCACGTGGTGATGGCCCCGTGATGGCATGTGACCGCACGAGCCAGGCAGTCCAATGGAGAGTGGCGATGGGCGAGAGTCGAGTCACAGCAACAACCGTCGTCATACGAGTGTTCCCCTACGCCACGTCTTGTCTCCTGAAGAAGAGGTGAAAGTTAATGAAACTTGACAAATAATTAAATCTCGACGAGGCATCAATAGTCACGCCGCAGCTCTTCACGCTTACCGGAAACAGCATGTGCGACGCGAGGCAGTCGCGAGTCACCGCGTGCCAGCCAACCATTGGCCGGGGATGCGGCGAGATGCCCGAATGCGGAATAGCGGAACACAAATAATCGAACATCCGACACTCCGCCGACGGTGATTGGCTCGCGTCCCGACGTCGCGTACCGGGGTCGGATACTCGCTGGAGGCCTTTGACAGGCAGACTGCAGAGCGTTGGCATCGATTGCTGCAGGTGAATATCTTCCTGTTGCTGCAGCTGGGGATATCGGGAAGGACGACACGTGCTGGTGCTGTTCGCAATGACGTAGTCTGTAGAGCAGTAATACCCTGGCCAGAGGACTCTGGGTAAACGGATGGTGGCAGGGCGGAGGACGGAGAAGACTGCCGAGCGGCACAAATAAATATAACAGCGGCTGCCGGCAGTCGAGCATGTGACACGGCGACATGTGACGTGAGCAGTCGAGCCAGCTTTCTTTTTATGGACCAGGTCAAACAGACGAGGGTATTGATCACCATCCTTGTTAACCAATTGCCAGTCGACGGATGCTTGTCGATGAAGTCAAAGAAGAATACAGGGAAGAATACAGGGGGACGAGGCGAGTCCTCGTCACAGTTAATCTAATGCCATTGGTGATGCTGACTGCATAACGAACTCGTCACAGCTACTGAAATCAGATGTCGATTTGTTTGCTATGTGAACGACTGTCCAGCGTGACTGGCATCAGCCAGTCAAACTAGCGTCATTTACGCTGGCGTCTCAGACTGGAGTTTCTCCGTAGCTCCTGTTCCATTAGCAGTGGCCGTGCCATTGCCATTGACGCCCTTCTCCTTCTCAGCCCGTTGCCTCTTCTCACGCTGAAGCCGCTCCTGGCGACTCTCGCTCGCGGGGTCAAAGTATGCTAGCAATCGAGTCAGTCAGCTGAAGTTCAACATGTTATTACAAAGGAAGACTGCAACTTACGCTTCTCGCCAAAGACTGTCGTTCGAATCCCCCGTCTGGGTGCTTCGTACGTTCCGGGGATGACACGGTGGAGGGTGCATCTATTGGCGCTGAGTAAGCAATTGCTGTCTCCAGAACAGGTCCTGCTTGAACTCGAGTAGTGAAGGTGCTGTCATACCGGTTATCCCACATGGCGACACTGCCCACGGACCACTTCCAGCGGACAGCATGGTCGTCCGCCGAGTGGATGTGGTACGTGAAGAAATCGAGCAGCTTATCCGACTCGGCCTTCTTGAGCTCTGCAAATCCAGTGACGAATCCCACATTGACATTGAGCGCCTTCAAGCCGGTGACGGGATGCGTCCGGACTGCCGGGTGGTGCGTATCGATCGGGGGTCGGTTGGGACCAACGCCCCAGAGGTCTAAAATTGTGTCGTCTGTTTATGTCATGTTAGGATATATCCTGAATTGCATCTGCAGAGGACGCTGGACGAACATTGCAGCCGCGACGTGTGCACCGCATGGAGCCCTTCGACAAGCTTCTTGTACGCGTCGCTGAGAGCATCGTACAGACCGTATTGCGAAACCTGAATTACTCAGCAAAATCATTCATTGCGTGCATGTGTATTGAACACCTACCCAGGCAGTGTCGCCTCCCACTTCGGGATGCTCTTCCATTCTGAGGAGCGAGTATGACGGCGCTAGAGGGAGTGTAAGAAAGTTGGATCCGTTCAGACATCTTGCAATTGGGACATACGATTGATCTCAAAAGATGTGTCCGCGTGGAAGTCACCGGTGGGCTGTTGTTGATCAGCAATCAGCAAGAGGCGATTGTCAGATGGAGCCCCGTCAGGTCGTCATCCTACCCATGGAGTGTATTTTAGGATCTCGCGGTGATCCTCTGTACTGCCGCGAATGGTCACGTACTATATTCACTCATCAGACCTGAACGAACCACAGTGGGGAATACGTCACACTTTTTGGTCCTGTGCATGTCAGTTAGCCCCCGAAAATGATAAAGCATAAAGCATTCGAGTTAGTTACCTTCTGAGCCGGGTGCTTGTCCAGGATCCCTAGACAAAACATCAGTCATCGTTCAAGGAAAAGTCATCGGCATACCAACCATAGTGCTGGAACAGCTTGACCTGCTGCTCCGTCGTCAAGTCCTGATCCCGGAAGAAGACAACCCCTCGCTCACAAACGAGCAGCGCCAATTCATCCAGCTGCTGCTCGTTCAGCTGCGACAGCTGCACGTCCTCCAGCAGCGTGCCAATCGACTCGGTCAGGTCGACTCGTTTGGCGACCGACAACAACGCTTTCTTCTCCGGATCCGCGAAGAAGGCCCGGTCCTTGGGTGGATTCAGCGGCTCGCGGATCGGGTCCGGCGGGACGTGATTGTTGATCTTGGGGTTGAAATTGGGGTGCAAGGTGATGGGGAACCCGGAGTCGGGCGAGATGTGCTTGTACGCTTCCAGTTGGGCCATGTTGACAGTCTGCTGAGCAGAGGTCGAGATTATCGTGCTGTCGAGTGAGTTCTAGGGATTCTAAGGCTCTTTTACATTAATTATCGTTTCCACGCATACCTACCCCACCTGGAGGGTGCATTCGTCATTTAAATAATATTAATAACGAATTGCTTCAACGGTCCACCACGTGGTAGCCACACCCCTGCCTATGCGAGTGGATGATAACAGAACCGGCCCGTTTGCCATTGGCATCTCTTCTCGAGCTCGTCTCCAAACTCAATTCATGTCATTTAACTCCACAGTTATCTTGGTTCTTTGAGATATCCAGAGTTTATCGATAACCGATTCGCCATTGTTCATACCAGACTCCACATCACCAGATTCTTTTCCTAAGATACAGTACGGAGTACCTCCAATTTAATTCCTCAAAGATAGTAACCGATCGAGATATTCGGATCTTCCCCGGCAGTATGTTAGCAATAAGCGTGCGGACTATGTACAGTACATGCAATCATGCAAACATCGCGAGGGATGGCATCATCAGCGGTGCATAGCACTCCGTCGGTGAATTTCTATCCAACCCTAACTTCTTAGCTCCATAGCGCAACCGCTGCTAGGAATGGCGTCAAGAGTATTCCTTACTCTGTCTATTATTATTATTATTATTTTCCAGTTGCATGCGCGTTACGAGCGTTTTGCCGGGAGTAGTACTGGTTACTACAATAGTGATGTAATCGACGATCTGATAAACAATGGCATGAGAATAAAGAGAAAGAGATCGTGACTTAGTTCCAGCCGGAAACTCAAGGCATGCTTACGCTGACCGTTGACGAGACACTGCGTCAATTATAGCAGTTGAACAAGAAGAAAGAAAGAAAGGAAAAGCGATATCACAGATTCAATAAATAATCAATCAGGACAATTATCCAGCACACCATGTCGCTATCACCAGAAAAAGCCTCCTCCGACACCGTCCAAGTCGGGCAGGAAGGCGACTCGTCCACGAGCAACCTGGCGCCCTTCGAAGCAGACTGGACGGTGGAAGAGGAGCGGAGACTGGTCCGGCGGTGAGATGACCACGAACATGTTGAATGAAATTAAATTTCAATGGACTGACAAGAAAAAGGATCGACTCGATTGTGATGCCGTTGTTGATGCTTGCTTTCTTTGCGCTGCAGCTGGATAGGGGGAATATGTAAGTAATTGATTTTTGCTACATGTATCAATGTTAAAAAAAAAAAGAAAGGTTCAAATGGCTGATAGTTTATTTTATCTTCAGTGGAAACGCCCTGACGGATTTCTTCCTCCGAGACGTGGGAATCACGCAGGACCAGTACAACGTCGGGCAGCAGTTGCTGTCACTGGGAATCGTCGTTCTGGAGGTACATCTCTTGTTTATCTTTTCGATAGTAATAAACAGTTCTGATTTCTGGCACAGATCCCGAGCAACTACGTCCTCTATCGCATCGGCCCAACGGTCTGGATCAGCGGGCAGATTATTGCATGGTATGCTGAAACTTTGATCAGATCACAAATCCGGTAAATCTGATGAACGAACGATACAGGAGCTTAGTTGCGACATTCCAAGCTTTCCAGAAAGGTCTCGGCGCGTTCTTGAGCACGAGGTTGCTCCTGGGGTATGTCCCGACTCTGAATTACGTCCGTATTTTATTTCAATTCACTGACTATCGCCAGTCTCTGTGAATCAGGATTCATCCCCGCTGGCCTCTACACCATCACCCGGTGGTACAAGCGCGATGAGACGAGCAAGCGGTTTTCGTGGTTCTTTATCGGCAACATGGTTGCGCAGGCCATCAGCGGTCTTGTCGCGTATGGAGTGTAGGCATTCTCCTAGCGTGTACGTACGGAGAGTATCAGATTCGCTGATTGTATCATTGCAGCCTCCAGATGAGAGGCATCTGTGGTCTGGGAGGGTGGCAGTGGCTTTTTCTTGTGTGTGCAAATATACATTATATCTCCATTGTGGAATAATGCTGATAACAGCAGATCGAAGGACTGTTTGGCATCCTCGTCGGAATCATCTTCATCCTCTTCTTCCCCCAGAGCACCGCCAACCCAGTCAATCTCCTCCGGACGCAGTACTTTACCGAACGAGAGACCCAGATCCTCGTCCGTCGACTTCTTCTGGACGATCCGAGCAAACACCACCGCCACAAGAACATCACCCGGCAGGAGATTCTCCGCACGGTAGGTTCAGTCGTAACGCACGATTCTTCCCACCAGCTGACAAGGCGTTATGCAGCTCGGAAACTGGCGTCTCTACCCGCACGTCATCCTGACGATCGCCGGCCTGGCACCGTCGTCGACAATGTGGTCGTATGCCCCGACGCTCATCAACTCGTTTGGGTATCCACGACTAAAGTCGAATGCCCTCGTCTCGGTCGGGCAGTGGCTGCAGCTGGTACTGAATGTGCTATGGGGGATGGCGGCGTAGGTACTACCTCGACTTCTTATCCAGTCCTGATGAACTGACAAGTGATTGCTTTGATGCAGAGATAAGCTGGGCAAACGCGGCCCGATGGTTGTTTCTGGAATGCTTCTGTGGTGGGTTTTTGCGGTGAGCAGCATGACTTGAATGATACGAGCGGAGGGCACAAGCTGATCAGGAGATTTTGAAATAATGCATACAGCTGGCCAATCGTCTCGCCATTTATTCGCACAATCATCAGGAACGATACGCCCTTCTTACGCTTGCTATTACGGTTTCTACGATTTGGCGTACGTCATCTCACAACATACAACATACATACATATTGCAATATGCTTTGCTAATCGAGAGGTTTCCTACAGACCCCGTCAACGGCTCCTGGATGGCCCTCAACGCCCGCACCGCCGGCGAACGCTCCATCACCCTGGCCATCTTCATCATGGCCGCCAACTCCTCCGGCATCGTGGGAAGCCAGCTCTTCCAGGCGAGCGATGCGCCACTGTACCGGGTCGGGTGGACGACGATCATCGCGTTGGCGTCAGTGGCGTTGTTTTTCAGCGTGTTTGCCGTCGTGCAGTATTGGGTTTTGAATCGGTGGGGGGAGGGTCGTAGCGGGGAGATTGACGGTGGGAGGAGGGAGCTGTATCATTTGTGATTGAAGCAGTATATTTTTATGCTGCGAATGCTCGCTTCTATCAAGAGGATTTTAGCTATAAATGGAGATATATTGTAATCATCATGTCTATATAGACGACTTTGTTTTCTGTCTAGAAGACAAACGCTATGAACATAGATCATAGTATATCATACAATGCCGTCAGTCCCTGTGTATAAAGATCCCCGCAATCGACATCATTATAAATTTACTAAATCCATAATGTAACGAATCCATTATTCCACTCCATCTTGCAAACCCCGTTAAATGCAGTCAACCTTCACTGTCTTCGATCGGCTAATAGGCAAGACAAGGTCTGTGCCAAGGCCCTGGCAGAAGAAGTTAACTAGCATAGCATGCATGCATGCATGCATGTCATCATTCCTCGACAGCATCGCATCACATCGAATCTACTCCGCAGGACTAAATACCTTTTGCGGTTCATGGCGGGAGATAAGACATCAACTAAGCTCTTGACCCGTAGTACGAGTCCATGATTCTTTCTTCATCATCTGCTTGACTTTTTGTACTTTAACTTTGTTCTTGCGTGATATACCGTTGTGATGGCGTAGCGTGGGATGATTATGGATATACTGTAGTTGCCTACTTAGGTAGGTACCCCGCAAAGAAAGATAATATTCTGAAGACATAATTTTAATCGCGTCAATTGCGCCATTTGTGATTGTGAGAGGAAATATAGATGGGACGGTAAGACAGACACGGGATGTTACCAAGTAGATTATAGCCCTAGCAGGATATGAATATATAAACCCTTGAAGAACTCTTGTTATCAAGACTTGGTACGTGACTGATTCGATATACCATCTCAACTGTGCCACTATTCTATCATTTAAGAGCACAGCATCATCTGCAACTCAACATGTCCACCACGACGACCGTCCAGACCGACCAAGAGACTCTGGTCACCAAGCTGCAGGCAGCGTTCGACGAGAAGACGCATGAGGGGGTGAGTCTGCACCAATCTTCACATGCGCATATCCATATATATGTCTGACAGGACGATATAGTACAAATACAAACGCTACCTCCCCGTCTACGACACCGTCACCAAATTCCCTCCCCTCGAACCCTTCGACTTCCACGACCGCGGCCACCTCGCCGACAAGGACAAGCCGAACCTCCTCCAGCCAGACAATCCGAATGTTGTCGTTACGAAACTGACGCCCCGCATCGGCACTGAGATTCGTGGCTTGCAGCTCTCGCAGCTCACGGATGCGCAGAAGAATGAGCTTGCGCTGCTGGTTGCTGAGCGGGGTGTTGTCGTCTTCCGGGACCAGGACTTTAAGGATATTGGCCCCGAGAAGCAGAAGGAGTTTGGCGAGTATTTTGGTCGGTTGCATATCCACGTACGTATTGACCAAACGATCATTTTGTGTTTTCTGGACGTATTTTAGACGTCGATACTGATGAACGATGACCAGCCCGTCGGCGCTCACGTCGACGGCTTCCTCGAATTCCACAACATCTACCTCGGCCCAGACAACCTCTATCGCGCACAGAACAAATCCACCAAATTGACCACGACGGGCTGGCACTCGGACGTGTCGTACGAGCACCAGACGCCCGGCATCACCATCCTGACGCTGCTCGCCGTGCCGTCCACGGGCGGCGACACGACCTGGGTGTCGCAGGTCGTCGCCTACGAGCGTCTGTCGGAGCCGATCAAGAAGCTGCTCGAGGGTCTGCGGGCTGAGCATAGCGGGTTCCCTCAGGCAGAGAAGGCGTCGAGAGATGGCAGGTTTGTGCGTAGAGAGCCGGTTAAGTCGTATCATCCTATTGTTAGGGTTCATCCGGTGGGTTGCCCCTGTCGATACATACCTCTGGTAGATGAATTATCTGACGTGACAGGATGGATAAAGGTCACCGGCCAAAAAGCCCTCTTCGTCAACCCAGGCTTTACGAAGCGCATCGTCGGGCTGAAAGATGAGGAGTCGGACGCTATTCTGAAGCTTCTGTTCAAGGTCAGCCATAACTTACCTCCTGCGCCCCTATCAGAGATACATAGATTCTCTTTCTGACATGCTGCCAGCACATCTCCCAAGGCCAGGACTTCCAAGTCCGTGTCCGCTGGGACGACCGCACCGTGACGCTCTGGGACAATCGCGTCACGGCCCACACGGCCATCTCGGACTATGACGTGCACAATCCTGAGGAAGGGCTCCGGCATGGATTCCGTATTACTACGCAGGCGGAGAAGCCGAGGGGGGTGAATGGGTTGGAGTCGGAGTGGTAGGCGGCGGGCCATATGAGATAGGTACGCTTTTGGTGTTGAGGGATTGTATGTGTGATGTAAGGGTATATAGTAAGAGAATGGAGATGATCTGATAGGATTGCCGTGCATGCGTTTTATGTCATGTCATGTCCTATTACCAGGATATTAGCTAATAGGTAGAGCAAACTCAGGGCTTAGTGAAGGGCCAGGGGTCCGTATTTTGCGTGCTTTGCTCTCTTGCATATATAAGAGATGTAAATCAGAAGTCTTCCATAATTATACGCGTGCCTTGACAAATCCTTGGTGAGAATTGAATCAGGAATTGACCGATATCGGCTTTCTTTGAAATGCAACAGGCACTTGATAAAAATAGCTGGAGAGTACTTGCTTGCATATGCAGCCCGGTTTTGTTCTGGAATAAATATGCCAGATTTGATAACAAGCGACGAATGACGCATCTAATGCTAATTGTTAATAACATCCAAGAGATCAGGATTCGAGCCAATAATATGTATACAGACCCTGACTGATCTCATTGAGATTCCTTTGAATTGAACATCTTTAGAAGATACAATGCAATATCTTGCGTTCTCAGACGTATGTAAATGTATTTTATGAATCAATCCCTGAGCAGTGACTGCATATCGAGAGTTCGCGTTCTTCCTGGGGGGATTAGACACCAAAGATAATATGGCGATGAGCGAATGCACCAGTCCAGTCTCCTTCCTTCCTTCCCTAAGAAGGGTCGTGTATGATGTATCATGAGAGTAGTCTCTGTCTTGAGTATACAAAGTCGACCCGTACTCTAGTCTTGGTTTTAGAGTGAATTCAGGCGCATAAGCAATGATTGTGGTTGATGCTGTGTTGCTTTATTATAGAGATGAATCCTTGATCGCGGCCGAACTCAAAATAATGACATAAACTAGACGGGGAAATATACCATTGGACATTTCATCCTTCGTTCATATGAGTTTTTGACTTTGTATACTGTACGAAAATGAAACGCTTGAAA